CGAAGGGCAATCGATAACTAATTTAGTTTAAAATCAGTGACAAAAAAATTAGTTATTAGAGAGATCTGTTCTGTTTCTTTTCTTATCAAATTATAATTGAGTACAACAAGGATATCAACTAATTGAACAGACAAGTTGAACAGAGAAAAAGTGAAACGAGCACTTATAAGGGTACATAACTTTTAGGATCTGTTTAGATTTCCAGACAATTATTTTACCATCATACTGAAAAACGTTTCAGGAGAAGATGATTCTTTGTGATCTCTGCTGGTAATGATGTAGTTACTTCTTAAAAATTTCAAACATGTCAGAACTATCAAAAATAAGATAAAATTTACAAGCTTACCTTGTCCAACAGCAATATTCGGCATACTTCTTACTGACGCTGATCGTTGTTGTGCATCATAATCACTGTATAACGTTGGACTATTCATCATGGGTATAAGATGAATATTTTCATCTTGCATTACCGACTGTTCAGGCGGACCATCAGAAAGTATCTGCGGTACGGTAACAAAATGAACATATGGTGATGGACTATTAACGGGAGAAGTAGTTAATCCAACATGCCTTAATTGGTCGTTAATTGTATGTATTTCAACTGGGGGTGTTTGATGGATTACCTTATCCGGACTTGTGTTGATCGTTGACGGAATCGTTGTTTGTACTTCAACGTTACGATAGGTTTTGTTTGGTATTTCAATGACATTATTTGAAATTTTACCATTTGTTTTTTTATTTTTATCTAACTTTTTATTTGTTTTATTCGATGCTTCTTTTGCCATTTTTTTATTGTTGACTAATTGAGGTGAATTTGTTGTAACGTGTTCGCTTTTTTCCTTCTCTAATTGTTTAGTTAATTCTTTTTCGGTTGATTTTGGTACGATAAAAAATGTCGGTTTAACGAGATCGGTCTCATTCCGTTCACTGAAAGGATGGCTTTGATGATGATAGCGATGATCAGGAGAAATTGGTTGAAAATTAGATGGTGACGAAGACGAAATAGGTAGTTGACTTAGTGGGATCCGTCTTGGCTGTTGATAATGAATTTGTTCACTGGGAGAAATAGTACCGTAGACAAATTGTCGTTTCCATTCATCATTGTGCTGAGGTGATAAAGAATAAATTCGTTGTCCTCCTTGATCCGTGGAATAATAAAGTGGTTGTGGTTCTTGATAATGACTCCGATGTGATTTTCTTAATGTTGCATAGACAGGTAACGAACGAGAATCAATGAAATATTGTTGACCATCATCGTATGTTGTCAATACTTGATGTTGTTGTTGTTGCTGTTGTTGAATCGGTATGCTAGTTGTTGATTTAGGTAACATATAATATTCAACATTTTCATTAATCGCGTCAAGGGGTCTATACGATGCACTAAAATCAGAAGTAGGAGCAGGTACAGTGGTTGTTGTTTGAGATGGTTGTTGAGAAGACGTATTAACTAGAGAAGGAGTTTCTACTGGTGTAATATGATTTTCTATATGTTGTCGATCGTCATTCACATCATTATTATCATTATTTGATATTTTGTGATTGTGTTTTGAAAAAAATAATCTTTTTTTCTTAATTTTTTCAGTCTTTTTCTTCTTGTTTTGGATATTATCATTACCGGGAATAGTAGTATCAGTACTATTTTGTATAACAACAGACGACATTATCATAGATTATGAAGAATAATAAGTTACATATTTCTCGTTGTCTATCAGATATTGACATAGACAAATATACGTTTCAACGTGTGACGGTGGCAGATAGATGTGCATAAACGCTTTTGCTTCTTTTTTTTCGTTTTACTTAACGCTGAGATTGGTTTACATTTTTTTTCACCGGTTTCACCAGAATGTACACTACATATTTTTATGTATTGACTTTTTTTTTATGGTAAAAAAATGTGTAAATGTAAATGATCAATACAGATTGTCTATATAAAACAGATATATATATATGTATACATACAACGGGATTCTCTTATGTTACTTTTATTTTTAACTCTACTAATGGTACAAAAAAAGAAAAAAAGAAGAAAAAGAAAAAAAATATGAGAGAAAAAAAAGACGAAATCTATCGAAAAACAATGGAGAGGAAACAAAAATATAACGTGCATTATGATGTGCACGCGTACTTGTATTTCTGCTTTTTTTTTCAACTTGAAATCTTATTTATTGTTATTAAAAAATAGATAGTATATAGTATGGGTCTGTAAATGGAAGCGTTTACATTCTCTGCCCTATGGATTTTTTTCTTCTCTCGGTTTTTTTCCTGTTTCTTGCACTTTCGTTCTCTCTCTATGCGTCATGTGTTCTCTCGTATGTATGCGGCTTTGTATTTCCGATACATTCGTGACCTTTTATTATTCAAGGTGTCTGCAATCGAGTCATATTAGTAGATATATACTTCTATATTATATTCTAAACAGCTTTGAAAATATTGTCTCTCTCTCTCTCACATTTCGGTTTTATCATTTTTCTTATGATGATCTCTAAACGAACTGGCAAACAAATCATCATCTCTCATCAGTCAATTTAATATCATGTAAAATTACTTGTAAAAGAGATTAGTACCAATGCTATAGTGTCTAAAATTTTTTCTCATACATTTTATAGAGAAATTTGTGTCAAAAATCTTACTTTCTAAAACATTGTTAATCTTCTGTTTAAAACCATTCGCTTTTGCTGAAAAGAAACTTCTATTTATCTTTTCATCTCGTGCTATCTGTAAATAGTTTTTTATCTATTAGTTCAGAGTTATACATTCCATTGATCCTCTTCTCTCTTTTATATAAATATTCTGCCTATGAATCTATCAAATCTAGGACTATAATGATAGAGATATAGTTAGTATTCAATGAGACAATGTCATTATTTGCTAAGTTTCACATTGTTTTTCTTTATTAATACAATTATATTTTTGTTCTTCTGAAAAGAGTGGTTATTTTTAATTAAAAATTATATCAGATAAATAGCAATCTTAGTTTGATTATTATAAAAGTTTTCATACAACATTAATCATAGAATAAAGAATGAAAATAATTTATCTGATAGAGACATAAAAATTGAGTGTATTCGAAGGTTTATCGTAATTCAAAGAATAAAATGTGTATGAACGATATATATGAATACATGGATTATTTTACTCTAAACTTAATTCGATAGTTAAAGTAATAATAATATTTCTTGAAGAAGTAATTGATTTATGGTAAAATTATTTCTAGCCTGACAATAGTCGTCATAGTCATTCTATCATTTTCTTCTTATTATCTAAGGATTTAGTACATCGTTTAATATATTTTGTTCTGTTTTTTTAAATTCAATATATCAGACTGTAGATTTCGTTTTAGTAGTGAAAAATGACAATATTGTTACGCCCTGTGGCTAAATGGGACATCGTGGCTTGCTGATTATGTTGACCGTCATGTACGTCAAAGGTATTGTGTTCGAACCTCGGCGCTAGCAAAGTCATGTAATAACCTTGGGCAAGTTACTTATGTCTTTTGTGCCTCGGATAATCGTATGACAGCATACTCACATTGTGACGTACAATACACCTTCTCCAGCTAGTTATTGTAGCTTTCTGGAAAGTTAGTACGTGGTTAGAGAAATGTGTATGGGGAAGCGCAAGTAATTGGCCGACAGAACTATGCGTCAGCCTACGCTTCTGGCCAGAGCTGCAATTGATGACTAGTACCGAGATGGGTGACCATTTCAGAAGCTTGTCAACTGTAGGGAAGATATCGGGGTATTGAAAATGACATGGCAGCACCCTACACCGTTAACGGTAGCCACAAGGCGGGGTATTCTTCCTTCTTCTTCTTGCCACTACATGAAAACGTATCACCTGATCGCATGTTATCGATCCTCGTTCAAATTAACACATCAAAACGATAAATATTTTTGACAATTTTTCTCTCTCTGTCGCTCTCAAACAGAATAGACATCGAAAAAGAATAAAATAGACGTTGCATATTCAAAAATAAAATGGAAAAAAAGGTCTTAGAAGAGATTTGACAGATAATTTATCAAGACCAATTATGAATAACAATAGACAATGATTGATAAACAAATATATCTTATGATGATACTATAAATAATAAGAGCAATTTCATGCTTAAAAGATTGATCAGTATATGGAAGTGACAACAAAAACATGTTTTCATGTATCAATCTCGAAGTATTTTATATGGAGCGCGGAGCAATAAAAAATATGAGTCTTTCTCAACGCACAGATGGCATATTGATAATAATAGAAAACAAACAACAACAACAGAATATCTGTTTCAGTAGGATTATAAAAAATGAATTAGTGTGATTGAACAAGAGAACAATAAATACATTTGTTTTTGTCTAAGACGTAGCAACAGATATAATATCGTTCACATATGTTATTTGAGGAGTATTGTATAATTTTAACTTTAGAGACTTAAACAATAGAGAAAAAGACTATGACCTAATAAACATAAATAGAAAATGTGTCTTTTCATTTATTCTCTCTTGATATAGCGGCTGTCTATACATTTGTTACACAGACCATCATAATATTCTAGAATTTTTTAGAATGACAATCTTCTCTAATATGAGCTAGAGATTTACTGACAATTAACTAATAAGTTATTATGCTTAACTGTTAAGTACATATTAATCCTTTGATAATATTTTCTTATTCAAGTCAAATAGAAACTAGATGAATTAATTACAATGAATGTCAAGGACTTTGTTTAATTCCAGTTATCAAATATAGTGATTTAATTGTATATGTGTATGAGAAAATCAAGGTTTATTATCCTAGACGATGAATTATTATTGAAATGGGAAATAGAATATCACACGTTGTCCAATGTCTACAAGGTTTTATGTCAAAATTGAGCAACTATTCTGACATTTTACTTTGCGATAAATTTATTTCTTTTTAACATCTTTTCAGTGATTAATAAAAAAACTTGTTGTCACTTATTGTCAAAGAGTTTTATTAATTTGTAAAATATATGCTAAATGTGATTATAAGTCTAATTTTAACCTAAAATAATTAGATATATACGACGAAATGGGACGTCAGATTTTTTTATCTACATCGATAACGTAGAAGGATATAAAATGGATATGTGGGAAAAGAAGATATGAATCATGAACAACATCTCACGATTTTACAATGTTAATCGAAGAATTTTCTGAAATTCTTCAAATTTCAGAAATACTTCAAGATAAAAATAAGTAAGAAACAGGAGCAGGGTTAGTTGTACTAAGAAAAAATTCTACATATCATCCTCATAATCCGCAAAAAAGTAATCGATCTTGGACATTTTTTCACAATTACATGCCTATATAGAAAAGTATTTACGCTATTTTCACATTTCTTCTTTGCGTACAATATCAGAAAAAATAAAATTCCTGCTGGGCATCACTGTAAGTGTTCTATTTCATCTGAATGATGTGCTGTATGTTACAAATTACCGAAAAATATTCGGAAAGGAAAATGAACATTATATTTTCACTAATATTATATAAATGTCAAGGTTCAGGGATGATTCTCTCTACTACTTCTGATATAATTGATCGTTTAAATGTGATATTTAAACTGAAAAACCACCTTTAGCGTACTTGGATGATTAGAGTTCATTATACAACGTAACAGAGGAATATTACTCTGTAAAATCTACACGAAATGGATTCGATTTACAATATAATTCAAAAAATTATATATATATACGTCTTATAAATTTCAACAAAGTTCACTATCCGTATTAGAATTCAAAATTGTACACACTGATAAATTAGTGAACACAACGAATAAAACATATTTTAATAGAGTATAAATATATTGTAAAAACTTTCGCATCTATCTTAAATTTTTCATTTATAAGCAAGAAACTGTCTGATGATAATAGTTTTGTAAATAGAGATTTTAATCTTCTCTTCTCTGTCCATTTCTATTTTATTATCTTTTTCTTCTGTATGTTACTTTTGTCGGAATATAAATACAACAGATGGACAACATAATTTTTCTCTTTATTCAATCAATCGTGGATGTGTAGGCGATGACAACAATGACGTCAGTTATTATAATAGTAAATCTATTTTATAATAAACAATGCACATGTCTATTGCCAATCGAATATCTAGTAGCTCAATTACATTACATTGTTGCCAATGTTTTTTGTACATTCATAAATGGTATCAAACACTGTTACTACTAAACTATTGGATGAAAAACAAATGATGTTTGTTTGCATACAGTCGTATACAGATATGATATTAGACAAGAAGTCTATTTTTACAGACATGTTTAAGTACTTATCAAAGCTAAAATCTGTTTCTTTTACAATATTTTGAAAAATAATTTTTCTCATTTGGTTATCGTCTATACCTGACAATATTTTGCATTTAGGTTATTTCGAGCTACTGTTTAGACATACAAAAGAAAACATTTTAATTCTAACTGAACAAAGTTTTCTTGAGTACATAAAAGATATTTTGAATATTTTAATAAGTCTAAAAGTCCTATAGTAGTAGAATAAAAAAAATGATGAAGCGAAAGATTTTGCATTTCAATTATCAACGATTGAGAAACGGATGTTTGAAACATTGCACTTACCCTTGATAGTATATGGCCATTGAGTTTCACACTCTGTTTGTATCCTCGTTTAAGTAAGAAATTTAGATAATCTTCT